GGCTCCCAGTCAGAAACTTGCTTACTCACTCTCGGAATTCCATTTGCACTCATGTATACACTCCGTGGATATTCTCTTTCTCATCTACTCTCCCACTTCACCCTTCCCTCTCTCACTTTACCTCCTGCTTACACAAACACACACACACACTCTCTCTCTCTCTCCCTGCCTCTCTTTCTCTCCCTCTCTCCCCCTCCCTGTCTTTCTCCCTCTCTCACCATCCCGCCCCCCCTTGTGTAGGTGTTTTTCTTCTTCTTTTTTTCCTTTCTTACATTGTCCAGAACCAGTAATTGTTTTAATGTCAATCCATGAAATAATTTAAATAATTGTCATCTATTTTATTTTTCTATTTACCTTTTTTTTTTCTTTCTACTTCATAGGCAATTGACAAGGCCAATGGATATATATATGGGAGCGGAGAAGAACGGAATATCCAAAGGTTATTGTCATGTGCCGTCGGTGCTGAATTTGAGCACGAGCGCCTGGGGAACGTGCGAGATGAGTTCATGAGAGGAAACAGTGAAGAGGAGGATGACGAGGATGAGGAAATTATCAAGATGATAGCTACTCAGAATCAAAACAGATGAAATTTAGGCTGTTTGTTCATATCATTGTCTTTTTCTTTAAGAGGATCATAATTTTTTTTTATTTTGACCACATAATAATTCCTTTTTTTTAAATATGCTGTGAATTCAGAAAGCAATTATTGAAAATAAAATTGATACAGGAGAAAGAAATCTTCACCTTTTTCAGTACCTTCATTGATCTTTCCAAAGCTCAGAAATATTGATTTTTGCTTGAATTGGAACTATTATAAACTATTATAAATATTGGAACCTGTTATAAACAAGGAAAAGGGAAACTTTGTATTATATAATATCTATTGTATTTCAATTCTTTGGCCACCATTGTTTATTGATATAATATGTAAGTGAGAGAAAATACTGCTAGGTTTAAGAAATCGAGATATTTACAACATGATTTAATTTAGTACGTAAACAATTACCCAGAGTCATCAATCTGAAAAGGATGGGTAAATAGATGTGGGTGAGTAAGGCTATATATTTATCCTTTACTACATGACTGCTAAACCAGTCTTGCATTTGAACACATTGGGCAATTAGCTATTCTGTAGTAAAATTGACTGCTGTTTTATTTTATGAAATGCATAGATAAGAATCATGCATCATAGGACAGTGATTTATGTGATATTATCCCTAATATTTTGTGCCTATCAAGGAGTTACTGTAGGTTTGTATATTTTTTCATTATATTCCAAGAACATTTAAAGGGTTTTGCAGAATATTCTATGCATGTTGTAGTTATACTGTATGGTTCATATGCATTTTTTTCTCTCTTTTTCTTTTCTTTTTTCTTTCTTTCTTCTTTGTTATTTATTTATTTATTATAGCGGGACTGTTCCATTTCCTATTTTCTTAAAGTGGACCAGTTAGTATGGAAGTTAATGTTGATAACATGAATCAAAATTTTCTTACTGATTAAAAGTACAGAAAAGTTGCAGTTTATTGGAATTTATAGTTCAAAATTATGCAAATGTCTAACTTTAGAAAATTAAAAGGAAAATCTGCAGCAATTGCAAAACTTGTAGAAAATGATTCGCTAGGTTTTTCCATTTGAATGTTTTTACAATCTAAATGTATTCTATTAAAAATTTAATTTTGACAATCTGTTGGCCTCAGTTCTTATTAGATACTCCTGATGGTAGTTCTATCCTAAGGAGAAAGGTCTTTCCTAGTGAACAAATTCTCATCTCATTTGCAAATTATTTTGATTCTACTTGGCTGAATAGTGATAACACTTCCAGTGCAGAAATGTATAGATACATTGGTTATAGTTCTCCTCTTGTTATTTAACTGTTGAAGTTCATTGCCTAACATGTGTTCACATGTTTCACATATTTGATATGGAATCTTCTCATTTTGTCTTATTGTTGCTGCTACTTATCAGCCCCAAATTGTCTTTCCTGAAATTTCATACCAAACATACACTGCAGTAGTCTTGCAGCTTTTTTTTATTGTTGTTTATTACTAGTTTATATAACATTTTCACTTTTTGTTAATGTGAATAATTTTCTATTTGGTTCCTTTTTACTATAGATATCTGAGGATAGGCTAGTCAAAAATATTTTTTCTATTGTATGTTCTTGGAAAATGAAAGTATTTCAAATTTCTTTCCATCCCTTTTTTCTACAAAATATGTGACTCCATTATAATATATAATACGGGAAATAAACAGTTTCATACCTATGTTATTCACATTTTATTGAATAACATGACAAAATTCACACAAAATGCTTCTATTTCACTAACAAAAAAATATTAATAGTATACTTATTCTACACAAACATGTAACTTGTTGATGTCAGAACATAAGGACGGGGGGCTGCTGGTAGGGGGGAGGGGGGTTTGGGGACTTCTGGATGTGCCTCGAAAGAATGTCATACTGGCCTCATCGCGACCAGATGCTTCTGGGCCCGTTCCCTTGGGAGACAGGCTGCGGTAGCTTTTATTTCTTCTATATAATACTTTATAAACCATTACATGCACCATGATCATATGGACAGTGATTCTCCCTGTGCTCTTTTGAAGCCATATAGATAGAATAAAGGGTCAGTCGTACTAAAACTGGATACAAGAATATGAAGTAAAACATTCAAGCCCAAAGCCAACCCAATGAGTAATGTTAAAATACATGACTTGTAATCCATATGGGGGTGATTATCAATACATAAACAGTTACACACTGCTATGTAGATACAGAATGTACATGACTTTTCAGAAAATATCGATCATGTACAATCCATGTTTACTGGAGTACCTGGTACCCACTGAATTGCACTATATACATCACAGATATTAGTAATATCCTTATATTTGTACAATAAGACCAATCCTTTATGTTCTTTGAAGGTGAGCCATTGTGAGATTTACAAAAACAAAAACCCCTTTATTTTTGACAGGTTACAAATGGAAGTCAATGTCGGCCTCTACAAAGTTTTTTTGTTGTTGTTTTTTTTAGTTTTTTTTTTTTTTTTTACAAGAAAGTTTTCATGTACATTTTTTTTTTCTTTTTTTGTTTAATGTACAATGTTTGATATTACATTGAACATACATTTTTATATAAATTTTCTTCCTTTTTCTTTTACTGCATGAGTATGAGGAAAATAGTTTCCAGGCCCCACTACCCCCAGGCCCACAGAGCCCCAGCACGCCGGCCTGTGGTACACGGTGATCACGCCACGACAAGGTGCAACATATGCTTAGGGTAATGGGTTTTAGTGTCTTTGCTTAGAAACTAGGTGTTTTGATTTATTATAATCAAATATAACTATAAACATTTCTTGAAGAATTATACATTAGCAGTATCATATAAATTATTAAGAATCTAGACTTTGTATTTATACAAACAACGTTAAGTCAACACAGTCTAAATGTTTATGTATCGACAGTTAGTGTTGTATTTGGTATGGTACAGCTGGCTCCTCCTTCCTGTGGGCCTAGCCCCGTGGCGGGTGGCAGCAGCCATGGAGAGCGGTGGGTGGCAGCGCTGTTGGGCCACCTGGAGCTGCAGGAACGATGGCGGCCAGCAAGGCACACATACAGGGCCTAGTGATGCCCACAGCTGCTACCGCCAGTCTGCCATCCCCAGTCTGCCACCACCACCACACCACGACGCAGCTCACACCGGCCACGCACTACTGTCCACAGTTACTAGAGGCTACAACTTCTTACACAGTAAGGTGAGGCACAAGGTACAAAGAAAGACCATACGAGAGGTACAGAAGGCGGCCGCATGGGCTGGCCTGGGAAGCAGCAGCGGCTGACTCTCCCTACCTCCAACGCGACCACACAACAGGTACCAGGCATTCTATATATAGGCCATATACAAAGAGTAAAAATAATCATGTCTTTTGCTTATTTACATTGAGCCAGAACTAACAAGTACATAGGTGGTGGTGACAGACAGTTGTGATCTGCAGATGATGTTACCATGGCAATGAAAAATGTTTGTTTCAACTGGCCAGGAAGCTTCCTGAGGTCATCTCTCAGATGGGCAGGAGGCATCTGGAAGCCATCTCTTGAGACAAGCAGGAGCCATCTGAAATCCATCTTTCAGATGATCAGAATGTATCCTGAGGCTTTCTCTCAGATGGATAGAAGGCAACCCCAACTAGAAGATGGCCAGCAGCACAATTCACTCAAGCATGTGACGGCTACTGAACATTCCTGCTTCAAACCAGATTGGCAATGGATCGCTTCTCTCTGCTACTAGGCAGCAGACCATGACAGCCCTCAGCCTTTATTACTAAGGCTACCAAGGACAGAGTTCACCTCGTTTATGCCAGTTCCCATTGGCTGGAGGGCTGTTGCAGTTAGGCAGGCTGGGGCAGGACTGGCAGAAGGGAGTAAGGGAATGTGATTCACAAACACAGGAGGCCGGGGAGCAGGGCTTGTAGCTCCTCTCTTGGCACTGTCACGGTAGTGCGGCACTGACACTCACACACATGGCGAAGGACACACACTCTGCTCCCCAAGTCTTTTTGTACAGTTAACAACCGTTGTGGTCCATAGAGGCAGAGGCGGTGGGGGCACGATTGTGAGGGCTAGTGTGGCCCTGGGGACGGCGCCCCCTGCCCGCCAGGCACTGATCACGCAGCACTGAGTGTCCTCTCACTGGTGCACGTGCTGGCACTCGTTGCACCTCACTATGTGGTCCAGCCCTCTGTCAGCCTCGGCCGTTTGCTCAACGGAGTATCATACTCGGTGTGGTGTGAGGTTCCATCAGGCGATGCGTGTGATGTTGGCGTTAGATGGCCTGCAAAGAAACGGAATCGATCACTAATCCATAAATTTAGACGCTTTCAGTCGCACTCTGATTTAATTATATGATCGGTAAATCACTGATGAAATCTGCAAATAAGATCATGTAATTCACCTATCAATCCCATTTTTCTTACCTGAGAGTGTATTGTAATGTGTGTGCACAGGATGGTTGGAAGATGGACCCAAGTGTGACGGCGGTGCGGGTGACAGGTGGCCGGGGTCTGTGGATGCTGGTCTTTGCAGGTGGGAGGCGGGGACGCAGTTGGCATCTCGTGGAGGACTGATGGGTTCTGATTTGATCCTTACCGGCGGCGACGAGGCTGGTGGCGGAGTCGAGGAACTGACGCTGAGGTGTGGCAAGCCAGAGTGTGACATTCCCAACGAGCCCGGGTTCCACTGGCGGGAGAGAACAGCATTTAGAAATATTCCGGGCGAGAAGAACAGATGTTTGAGTATGTACTAATGCAATCATCAAACCGACTCTTCCACATCACATACATCAACATTCTTAAAAACAACGTATTTTTCTGTCCTTACCTGATGAAGAGAATTGAGGGAATTGAGAGGGTTAAGCGAAATGTCTGAATTTAGCTGGAAGTCCTGATGTGGAAACGTGTTGAGAGGTGAGTATGTCGTCGATGGGTTTCCGGCTGTCGTCTGATGTGATACTACAGGAGTGTTCAGTGAGGGAGAGCCCGGCCGGGGATTCTGCTGGAATTCGGAACACAGAATTATAATCTACGATACACGCATTGGTTAGTCTGCTACATATAAGTGTAGACACATTATTACTTCAAGAAAAATGCTGTAAACAACTTGTAAATTCTTCTTCACGACTAAACCAGGACAGTATCGGAAGAGCAGCAGCAACGTACCGTCTGTCCTTGAGGGTTTGGGATGTGGACGCGGAGGTTCGGTCTGGTAGGCGAGTGGGTCTTAGAGGAGTGCGGTCGAGAGAGGAGTCCAGGCGAGGGCGCTCCTCCCTGGGGCAGAGGCGACGTCGAGCCGGGGTAGCCGTTGGAACCGTTCATGTCCAGCATCCCACTGGAGGATCCGGGGCGCGGGGACAGTGAGGCGTGAGACATTTGCGGCGACGGCTGCATGAGGGCCGGGTCATACGCGGTGTTGTTTACGGGAACGGTCACGGCCATGTTGTAGTTGTTCAGTCCCACCGGTTGCTGTGCCGCAAGATAGGGCTAAGTTTAATGCCAGTCGGCAAGATTAATTTCGGAGTTCATGGAGTGTACAAAAATATCTATATGCATAACAGAATACAAAATATACATCAGAGCAAAAATATATATTTTCACAATAATTGACATTCACAAGAATATCCACCATTCCCTTCCCCAACACGAACTCTAAACTCACTCGAGTGCCTCCGTTGATCTGGTTACGCTGCATCATGAGTGTAAATTCCTCATCAATCTTGTTGTACTTGGCCTCGGTGCGTGGGGTCAGGGTGTAGTCTTGCTCGCCGTCTGGGGAGTCGGGAGACTGTAAGCCATTCTTATGTTCCTTTTTGTTCAGAGCCTGCGTGTTCGAGAGGGAAGAAACGAAAGGTTGTTATTAAAGATTCAGCATGCGAGATTTGCTGTTAAATTCCTAATAAGAAACAAGTGCTTTTAACAATATCAACGGGAACTACTGCTGAGGTGACAGCGTGGACACTATAACCCCATCCTACAGACAGCGTGTGATGCAGAAGCCCTGCAGTTGTAAATATCCCATAAAAATCACCTTTATGACTTCTCTTGTTCTTCTGAAACATCTATGGCGACCCACATTTAACGACCAGGAAATAACCTTCAGAATCACTAGACTCAATATACAACCACACCCACCCAACATACTGCAGCCATCCGACCATTGCATCATTGAAACTGGCAAATGGGGAAGTCATATTAGGAACAGCGGCGACCTAATCCAACACGCGGTTATGGCAGGGCATTATATAACCTTTTCTCGCCGTCCACACTTCAAGACGGGAGCCCCGGAAAAGAATTAATTCAACTATTAATCGGCTTACTTTCCTCCCCGGTAATTACCCACTTACCTCTCATTACCACTAATTACCTACACCCTACACATTGCGCCCCGCCGACGCTGATCCATACGCAGGGGTAGGCTTGGTGCGGCCCAAAGAGGAAGGAAGAAAAACGAAAAACAATAAGAAAAAAGGTTACATCTGAACCCGACCTACCGGGGCTTCTTCAGTCCCTCCCTCCTATTTACATGTGAAACATCTCGCAAGCGCTGTGGCCTTTACATTGAACTCTCGTTACATAACTGCTTCTCAAGGACGTGATTTTCATATTTTGATACTAATAATTTTCTCACATTATAAAAAAAGAACTTGAGGAGACGAAAAGTCAACGATCACCGGAATGCAAGTCTAAGCACCCGCGCGAGGAAAGCCGACA